AGGCTGAAGAGATTCTCAGAGAGGTGGAGCCTGGTCAGGCCACGCACAAGCACTGGCAGTTATTGAGGAGAGACCACAGTGTCCTGGAAGGGCAGGACGGGTGGGGAGCTGGTTGCTCAGCCACTGCAGGCATCTGGGACGTCACCACCTAGAATTCCTCTTTTGTAAGAGACAAGTTACCTTTGGGGTGCAGATGGGAAGCATCCCTGATCGTCTGTGGCGGAGAAAACATCTCCAGGGGACAGTTCATCATCACACAGTCTCCAGACTCACTTGGCTGTCTGCTCTGTGTCCCCCCTCCTCTGCTCTGTCCTCCATTCTGCTTTCCATTCTGTGTCCTGCCACACTTCTCAAGGGCTTCAAAGCCCCTGCTTGTGGCCTGTCCCGGTATCTAGGAGCTCAAGGGGTCATTTCATCAAATTATTCCTCTGGGTTTGCAAAGACATAGAATTATTGGCAGAAAAGGAGGATATAAACCCCCGCTGGATCCTGGAGCTTTTTGGGGATGCCAGGCACAGAGTGCTTGGAAGCCTTCCAGCACACTGGTTCGTTTTTTAATGGCCCAGGATGATAGTTCAGCTGTTTAATTCAGACGAGGTGACATAATATCTTTCCTTTGGACTTACTACTGGTGAGGCAGCCATCGGGCTCCTCACACCCTCCTGGCAGGATATTCTGTCATTAGAGCCTGTTTTCTGTCTTTGGCTAAATTGAAAGTCCTCGGAAGAGCTGTAGCCTCCAAAAGGAGAAATCGACAGAGAATAGGTCACAACGGGCATTTAGGAATGAAAATGAATCTGTTCTTTTCTCCATTGGATAAGCAGCCATGCTTGCGTCTGTCTCGGTGATCCATGAAATCGGCTGTCAAGGAAATAGAAAGTGGGTTGCTTCTAAACTTCTGCAGAGTCCAGTCACCTTGGAGACAGTGTTGCTGGCCTGGGCAGGGCTGGAGGGAGAGGGGTGCACACTCTCTGGCTGCCTGCCCTGGCAGGAACACTTGAACGTCACAGTGGAGTTACAGGACATGGGAGCCTTGTTCTGTTCCTATTTTCTAGATGAGGACAACAAGGTTCAGAAAGATCCAGAAACTTAGTTCAGGTCCTTTGGGATGGAGCCTGGTTTCAGCTTGAGGTATGGAGCATATGGCTGGGAACTTGTGTTGAACAACCCCAAAGCTTACGTCTCTCCCTGGGCAGGGTCCTTTCATCCAAAGCCAGCTTCCTGCACTGCAGATGTTTACACCTCCCTGGGTGGGGTCCAAGCTCTTAAGGTTCAGAAGAGGGAACGCAGGAATTGACGTACACACGTGTGCAGCAGCAGGGTGGGTTGTTACCACTGTTTCCACATCTCGCAGCACATTGTCAGAGCATGGGATATAGTGCGACCCACTGACCGAGCAGGTGACAGTGGGAATCTCTACCACCTTTTGCATCTCTGTTGCATGGTTTGAATCTGAGATGCCCCTCCCCCAGGCTCATGCTTGAACCACTGTTTCCAGCTGGGGAGCTTGAGGGGCCTGGCAGGTAGAAACGGGTCAAGACCCTTCAGGAACTTGAGCCAAAATAAGAAAAGGAGCCCCCCATTTCAGAAATGGTGTCAGGCTCTTGATCACAGATCTGAGAAAACACTACAAATCCTTTCTTTACAATAGATGGCAGGAAGTCTGGGCTGGGGACGGGGTGCAGACGTCAGTGTGGTCACCCCTCTTGCTATGTACGTCCTTTGATTCTGGAGTCTTTCCCACAGCCCTCCATGCTTTCCCCTGGCACCTCATCCTCATTTTCTCCTCTTAGCTCTGGAATTGTGGGGACAGGCTAGCCAGTTCCCTGCTGTACCCTCAGTGCCTGGGCCCACAGAGCCTCTGTACCCTCAGAGCTGGGAGGGAGAGGGTATATGGATCTCACGTGTGCCCCAGTGAAAGGTTTTTGCATCTTGTTCATTGTGAATGTATACTTATGTATATTTTTGAGACAGAGTCTCATTATGTAACCCAGCTGGACCAGGACAGTCTTGAGCTCACTGTGGAGCTCACTATGTACTTCAGGCTGCCCCCAAGCTCAGGATCCTTCTGCTTCTGTTTCCTGAGTGTTGGGATCACAGATGTATGCCACTCCACCAGGCCACAGTAGAGATTTAAAATTGGCTTTTATTGTTAATCAACTTATACAAAAGTATTGATAATTTTGGTTGCTAGATTTTTGGTGCTCTCTGAAAAACTTTCTTTCTTGCCTCACCCTACTCCTTCCCTGTGTGGACCACACAGTGTCATGGAGCACCAGGCAATACAGATTTGTACAATGAGTGGCCCTCTATGGACATATGGAGACTCATTTCTAGAAACTAGAGATTCCCGCACCCTGTGACTGTTTAGTATTCTTTGTATCTGAAGGGGGCCAGAGCCCCAGTCTGAGCACTGTAATTTGCGGGCAGCTGTGATTTCTGATGCTGGCAAGTGGGGAGCAAGTGAGTGTCCTGACCCGGGCCTGGTGGTGGGACAGATTTGAACTTGGATATTGAATGTAGATAAAGGAGAGAGGGCGAAGGAGACCCACAGTCCCAAGGCCTCCAGGTCCCCCCACTTCACCGCAACAGCACCTCCCTTCTGCTGATGGCTCTTGCACGTAAGAGCCACTGGGGTTTTAGTGACAGTCGTGAGCTCAATGAGGACCAGTTCTGTGGCCCGGCATGCTACACTCCCACCTTGGTGGGCGCCCTGGACCGACCAGCTGCTCTCCTACCCTGCTGCCTCAGACGCCTCACTTCGGAGGTACACCAGACTTTACTGCCTCCGTTGGCTTTATTTCCCTCCAAAGCCCAGACTTTGTTGAGACACATTCTTATAATTAAGGCAAGAGTGAGAAATAACCTCCTATATAATTTAAAACGGTAAAATTATCGATACCTTTTCCAGCCCGGGCTTTAAATCTTTGCCACCAACGACTCCCCTATTAACGGGCCTAATTAAATTCATTTTTCAGCACGTCTTTGGCAAATTCCATTTTAGCAAAACTGTAGGAAGTTCAGTTTGATTTGTCTCTCTTCCCCTAGAGCTTGCCTATAAAAACGAGGGCTGGGTGGATGCTTGACTCTTTCCTTTCTGTATTAATTCACCCAACAAATGCTTATTTATTGAGCATTTACTATATGCCGTGGCACAAAAATAGAGGAAGTGGATGGTGAAATCAAAGATGACAAAGTTCCCATGGCCATGGCTGGAGGAGAATTTCACTCAACAAATCTGCACTGAGTTTAAGGCAGGGCCACACTGTGCTGGGTGCTAGGGTTGTGGGCATGAAAGACCTTGATCCTTTGGGATGGAGAGTGCGCTCAACCTGGGCTGCTGCTAGTCTCATTGGAGCACAGAAAGAGAGCAAATGTCTGCCGCTATAGCTCATCCTGTAAGTTTTCGTTTTGTGAAGAGAGGACTCCTGGGCAGTTGTGATGTTGAGCGAGAGTGGAAAGCTGCTGAGCTGGAGACTGCGCAGTGTGGGAGAAGTGACTCTGGGGAGGACAGCATCCTGGACTGCAGGGCAGGGGTGTCACAGAAGCCTGGGGATGGCAGTGAGCACAGACGACAGCAGGAGCAGGATCTAGCTGCTCCCATTTGAGCTATAGCAGCAATGATAGTGGAGGATGGGACATGGCACTGGGGGGGGGGGGCGGGTAAAGGAACAGTAAAACAGACCTGGGCTTGATCACTGCGGCCCTGTCAGTGCTGGTGGACAGGAGAGGCTTGTAGGGGGTGACAGGAAAAGTCTGAGTGTGAAATGTGGCGTTAGCTTTATCACCCTCACGACCCCGGAGAGAACAACACGAAGGAGGGAAGACTTATTCTGGCTCACAGCTTTGGAGTGTTCCATTCATGATTGCTCAGCCCCATCCACTTGAGCAGAACATTATGGCTATAGGGGTGTGTAGCCAGGGCGTTTCTTTGTCTCATGGTAGACCGAAAGCAAACAGAGAGAAAAGTACTAGGTTCAAGCTGTGCCTCATGTGACCTAATTCCTCTACCTGGGTTCTTGAAGTTTCCAGAACCTCCCCAAATAGGACAGCTATCCAGGCTTCAAGCATTTAACACATGGGCCTATGAGGGAGCAGCTAATATTCAAATCATGGTGTGTGTGATAGTTAAGGTGGGAAGTGGGGTGGCTCGGGTGACTGGGTGGATGGTTGGGACATTGAGCAGAGAAGAGCAAGAGAGAAGATTTGATTGACATCTAACATCAAGATCTGGTGCTTGGGACCCTGCTCAGTTTGGACAAGGTGGTGAGGAGCCAGCTGTGACTCATGATGGGAAGGTGGCAACTTTAAGGAGGGTGTGAACTCAAAAGAGGAGAAGACCAGGGGTGGGGAGCCTCTAGGAGCATCCACATTTAAAGGGTAGTTAGAGTGTGTGGGGAGCAATGGCCGGCGGAAGGAAGAGCAGAGACGGTGACATGAAGCCAGGGACGAGAGCTCTGAGGGGAGAGTGGCACATATTGAACACTGTAGAGGTGTCACAAAAGGAAAGATGGTATTCACGTAGTTAAGAGTCAGTTCGGGTGAGACACCCAAGGCGGCAGGCTTCAGCACACTGGAGAGAAGGAAATGAGTGGCACACACATCCTGGTCCAGAAGAGGGAGAAGGTGGTGGTACCCAGAGGAGATGAGGGCCTGAGGACATTCTGATCCTTCACAACCAGATGCTGAAACAGGATGGAGTATAGTTTGTTTGGAGATGACCCCCCAGATCACCACAGGGGGCTGGGGAGAAGTAAAACAGAAAAGGGAGTCTATGAAACATGGGATGGCCAGCTAGTGAGCAGTATGCAGAAGTGGAGATTCATCTTCCTGGATAACCCCTCCAGATGTGTGGAATAAGTACTCAGAGGTGTTCCCCATGTGAGACCTATCCAAGTCTCAGCAGCTGGCCACTGGTTGGGGTTCTGTCTCTTTGGCATTGGGCATATAACAGTTCTCAGGTGTCTTAGGCCGTGCACATCTGCAGGATGGAGTCTGGTGGTAAGGCAAGTGTGGTGTGCTGTTTATTTAAATTAAACCCCTCCAAACACCCCCTGGAGAGAGGAGGGAAGCTCAGGAAAACCAAGACCCTTGAAGAACTTCTTCCAGAAGCTCAGAAAGTCACAAGACACTCAAGTCCCCTCTCCAAGGTTGTGTAGCCAAGCGGAGACTCTCAGGTGGAGCTGGCCTACACACTGAGCAGGCTGCTCCAGGGATACAGGTTTGGAAATGGGCTTTTTACACTCTTAGTAAGTAAGCCCTATAGATTTATTGTCTTATCCAACTAGATGAGGGTGAGATGATGTCTATGTCTTTTGTTAGTGCCTGATGGGGGTGAACAGGTGTTTGCTCGCTCACGTCTCCACAGGGGAAGCACCAGGCAAGAGAAGGAAAGCTGGTGATACATGTAAAGGAGAGGCAGAGGAACTTGGAAGACAGGGACTCGCCCCTTTAAGAAGGACTGCTCCTTGGCTGTTCCCCTGCTCCTGGAGGAGACTGCAACCTTTGCAAGGGCTAAGGCTAGGGTAATATCTATCCACAATGAGGTAAGACCAGGGAGGGCCCTGGAGCCTATGAACAATCAAATCCAGAGCCCCTAGCAAGGTCCTCAACCCTGGGGCATCTCTAATTAAGGGGATAGGAGCTGTTCTTATAATTTTTTTTTTAGTGCCTGGTGCTTCTCAGTTGCTTTCACTCTGTCCGTTGACCCCAGGTCTGTAAAGGCCGTGGAGTCTGTAACTGCCTTGGGGTCTGTAACTGCCCTTAGGTCTGTAACTGCCCTCAGGATGTGTAACTGCCTTCCTACGGAGTTCTAACTGTTACTTTGTGTCCAGAACCCTGCTGATCTCGGCTACTCGCCCCCCCACCCCCTCCCTGCCCCCGGCTGTCTGCGATTTCAAGTCTCCCACCTCAGATCTCTAGATGGCTCACTGTCAGTGCCCCTCACTCCACGGCTGCCTCTCCTCTCTCCTGTCTGGGTGAGTCGAAGACCCACAGTTTTATCGTCTGTCCCCCTGGGATGACTTCAGCGCTAACTCTAGATGACCAGTCCTCACCCAAGACCCCCATAGCATCCAGAAGCTGGATGAAGTAATGGAATGGTAAGAGTCTAGGGAGATGTCTGGGCTGTGGAAGGTGCCTGCTGGAGAAGGGCTAAGGTTGTGTTTTCTAGAGGAGCCAGTTCCTTAGGATTGAGTGGTGAGTTGGGGTGAGAGAGGTTGGAGATGAGAATGAGACAAGACAGTGGTTCAGGAAGAGGTGGTGAGCATGGGATTGCTGAACCTGGAGGAAATGATAGGTTTTTATTGGTAAGCAAAGGCTGGGGTTCATAATACAAGGGAAAGGACAAGCAAGCTGCCAGAGTTATTAATAGGATTTGATGTCATCAGGTACCTGATGTGTCAACTAAAGATGTGTATTCACCATTGGCTTCTGGCCAGGAGAGAATCCAAGTCAGATTAGCTTGAGGGTGGGTGGGATATTTTCTTCTTCTTTGCATATGCAGTGGATGTGTAGATGAGTGAATGAGTGTGTGTCCGTCTGTGCCCCCATGTCCATGTGTGGACATGTCTTTGGAAGTCAGGGGTTGGTGTTACATGTCTTCCCCGCTCACTCCCCACCTTCTTTTTGAGGCAGGGTCTTTCACTGATTGGGTAGACTGGCTGGTCAATAAACCCTGGGTATCCTCCTGTCTCCAGCCTCCCAGCTCTGGGATTGCCTGAGCATGCTGTCATGTCTGGCTTTTACGCATGCTGGGCACCTGCACTCAGGTCCTCGTTCTTACACAGCAAACACTTTATTAAGCCCACCTCCCATGCCTCTGAAGAGGTATTTTTAAAAGTTATTTATCTTTGTTTTATGTGTTCGAGTGTTTTGCCTGCATGCATGAATGTGTACTATGTGTATGCCTGGGGCCCAAAAAAGCCAGAAGAGGGTATTAGATCCCCTGGAACTGGAGTTACAGATGGTTGTGAGTTGCCCTGTGGGTGCTGGGATTTAAATTCTGCTGAGCCATCTCTCCAGCCCACCGAAGAGGCTTTTTTTCTAATGAGTGAGTGTGGCTGGAGGCTTTAGGGACAGGTGAAGTGACAGAGCTGGACAGACAGTGGGAGTCATATCCAGAGAGTAAGCTGGAGACCTGAGTGGGACACCACAGACCGGGAAGTCAAGTTTAAGATCGACTGAGATGCTGTTCGGGATGAGGCCGTGGACAGTGAGAGGAAACAGTGGTCTGTTCTTGGGAGTAAATCGTGTGGGCAGAGAGATGAGCATGGTCTCTCAAGTTCTGACTTTGTTCAGGTTTCCAGCTTCCTAAGATGTCCCCCTGATGAATTTCAGAACCCCCTGGGACCCAGGCTTTATAATTGCTGATGAAGTGAGTTCAGCTCTGGAGTCAGACTGACCTGAGTTCTGATCTTGCTAATTCTCTCCTAGCTGTGGCTCTTGAGAAGGGTCAGACCCTGGAGAGGAATAGCCTGCATTCTAGCATGAAGGAGCAAATACAGTGCTGTGTCATGGCTCTGTCCCCACTTAAGAATAATTCTCATTGCCATGTCAGCGACAGCGATTCAGGAAGCCAAGTCACACAAGACCCCATTCGTGTGTTCTAGGACATCAATCCCGTCAGGAGGTCTAGGAAGGACCTCCCTGAGGAAGTGATGTTGTAGCTAAGACCTAGGGACTGAAAGGAGATAGGTAGGTGAAGGTGGGGAGTAAGAGCATCCTAGGAAGAAGTAATAGCAAGGTCTGGTGGTAGGAAAGCCTGCAGTAACCTCAGGAACTGAGGCAAGGCCAGTGTGGGTGCCGTGGAGAGAGTGAGGATGAGCGGGATGACCCTGCTGCCTTCGGGAGCCAGCCTGGGCCTCACTGTTTCCATAAGAGCAATGGGAAGTGAGAATTTTATCAGGAGTGTGGCTTGGGAAGCTTGCAGTTTGGGTTGCTGGGTGAAGGAGGAACTGTGGTTAAAGGAGGAGGTTCACATGACAGCAGGGAGACGTTCTGGTTGGTTGTTGTGTTCATCTAGGGGAGGGACGCGATAGGCATAGAAGAGGATGAAAGACAGGAGATAGGTGTGAGACTGGTTAAAGGTTTGCTTGAAGAGGGAGAAAGAAAAGGAAAAGGAGAGGGAGAGGGAGAAGGGTGGGGTGGAGGGGGAGAGGGAGTCACAGTGAGTTGTCTAAGTTGTCCTTCAAGGACAACGTCCTTTGGTGGAGGGTCTAGTTGCTCACTCTAGGTTTGTTGACTGGGCCCAGGTCCTGGGTGATTGTTACTTCAAGCCAAGCACGAACACCTTACCCATTCTTGGTGGGTGACTTCCACAAAGGAAAGTGTGTGCCCTGGATCTGGCTGTGAGGACCCACGAGCGGGATAACACTATGAGGTTCCAATATGGGGACGTGGCACCAGGGACCAGGCCATGAGGAATGCTGTAATTTGTACCTTAAGTGCCTCCAGAGGCCCAGGTGTTAAAGACTTGGTCCTCAACCCGTGGCACTACTGAGGGGGTTGGACCTTTAAGAGGTGGAGCCTAGTGGGAGCCAAATCATCAGAAAATGACCTTGAAGGGGATACTGGAGCCTCAGCTTCATTTCTGCTCTCAGCCACCATGAGGCTAATGGATCTGTCTCTCATGCTCTCCCAGCCATGATGCTCTACCTTTCCATAGGCTCCAAAACAATGTATCAAGAAACCAGGGGCTGAAACCTCTGGACTGTGAGGAAAATAACCTTTTCTCCCTGTAGGTTGATTTTTTTTTCAGGTGTTTTATCATGGTATCAGGAGAGCTAACACTTCTCTATTTTAACCAGTCACTGGAGGGTGAGGACATAAGAAGAATCTGGAAGCATAAGTGGAGAGCAATATGCTCATTGTGGGCTGTGATGGCTAGTCTCAATTGTCAACTTGACCTAGAATCACCTAGGAGACAGGCTACTGGGTATGCCTATGGGGATTACCTTGACTAGGTTCATTGGGGTGGGAAGGCCTGCCCACTGTGGGGGACACATCCCCTGGGCTGGGGTCCTTGAACTGTATAAAATGGAGAAAACAAACTGAGAACAAGCATTCACCATCTTCCGTTTCATGACTGTGGATGTGATGTGACTATATCACATCCTTCTCTGAGAACTCCTCTGCCACAGCGGATATCTGACTGTGTGCCATAACCCCCCCCCCAAAAAAAAAAAAAAAAAACAACACTTTTGGCTTCAGTTGTTTTTGTCACAGTATCAGGAAAAGAAACTAAGACACAGAGTGTCCTACAAGCCAAGGGAAGAGAGTTCCAGAAGAAGGCCAAGCCACAGAGCTGGGCACTGCTGAAATGCCAGACAAAGGCAGACTAAAATCTCCAACTCCCCCGTGTTTCTGATGAGGACTGTACAGAATAAATGCTTCTGTGGAGAGTTCCACTGCAAATGGGTAGCACGGACTCTGTGTCAGCTCGCTACGCTGTGTAAGAAGGAACTCCACGATGAGGTGACTCGAACCTCCCACTTTCTTGCGAGTCTGTCACTTGGCTGAGGCATTCTGCTGCCACAGGGCAGGTTTGGCTGATCTTGCCTGAACTTACTGAGGTCAATGGGTAGACTGGTTGTGGCCTCTCAGAATCCAGGCAGAGGGAGCAGATGTACCAGAACTCTGAAGTGAGATCGAACTTGGCCGTGTGAGGAAGAGGACAGAGGACAGTGTGGCTGGGACAGTGTGTGTGGTAATAGCTTAAGAAATTAGAGGGGATTGGAGAGTGGGTTGGGGGTCAGTGAAATATAGAGGGGCAGTGTGAGGTGGGGTGACATCAGGAGCCCCTTGTAAAGCATTCAACTTTACCTCTGCTGGTAGATTTCTTCTCCATGTCCGCCTTAGTGACTCCAGGTTGGCGTTTGCTCCTTGGAGGAGCCTTGGTACTTCTCTTGGTTCCACTGGGCGGAGGGGGATCTTTGTTCCTGCCATGCCTGCCTGATCGCCCCTAATTTGGGGGGAGGGAGAATGGGGGCCATGTTTAATTTTTGTTGTATAAAATTACCTATGCTGACATGTAATGATTTATTATTTTATATGCATTTAAACATCTCATATTTAGCAGATAATGTCACACTTTTCAATAGTTTTTTTAGTAGCTTTTTTTTTAAACCTCAAAGACAGCTTTTTTTAGGGTTTAAGAGAAAAAATAACTTTCTAGCTAGGGGACTTTTTTGATTCCTAAAATCATGTCTATCTGTATGACCTGGAAGTAGATGTGAAGATGGCCAGGGGACAAAGGGAGGGGAGGCCTTGAGAGGGAAGAGTAGTGGGGCATGGGAGGATAATGCCAAGCACAGTCATATTTGCATAAATGGCCCTATGTCACCTGGTATAGTAATATGTAAAACGTCAAAATCTAGGAGGAGAGAGGGATGAAGAATTAAGGAAGTATCTCAAAGTCCCTGCCTTTTGGTTTCCCTGCATGGTACAGGGCAAGCCAGCTCTCAGCCAGGGGTCAGTCAGCCTCATGCCTAAAAGCCCATCTTGCTGAATGGGGGATATGACCCAGGCCAGTTCAGTTGGTCCTCTGCTTTTATAAATAAAGTTTTATCAGGATACAGTTCTTCTCATCATCTGTAGTCTATGATCCCTTCTGTGCCACTTTGACAGACTCCCTTAAGTATTTGTCAGTTGCTCCTTTAAGAGAGAGTTAAAGCCGGGCGGTGGTGGCGCACGCCTTTAATCCCAGCACTCGGGAGGCAGAGGCAGGCGGATCTCTATGAGTTCGAGGCCAGCCTGGGCTACCAGGTGAGTCCCAGGAAAGGCGCAAAACTACACAGAGAAACCCTGTCTCGAAAAATCCAAAAAAAAAAAAAAAAAAAAAAGAGAGAGAGAGAGTTAAGCCCAGGGCAGAGCAAAAGCACACTCAAGGGTCCTCTGCTTATAGCAGGGAAGTTCCGGTCCCTGGACCCTGTTAGCCAGGGAGGCGGCAGTGCTCCTCCACGAGGGCTCCCACATGGGGTCTTTCCTTTTGGTTTATTTTTGTTTTGACTTTTATTTTTGTATGTTTGTGTAGCGTGTGTGTGTGTGTGTGTGTGTGTGTGTGTGTGTGTGTGTGTGTACGTACGTACATATGTGGATACAG